TGTATCAAATTAAAATATAATAAGGAGAAAATTTATGTACCTGTAAATTGGGTAACCATCATGATCTATTTATGTATCATCAGCAAATGCTCTTGGATATTTTGATTTGCAAAAACCATTGACCATACACGATGATTTACCGTTTCGTGTACCACATGGACCATGAACCATGCATTTTTTAATGGTCTCAAACAAAGCTGGATGTTTTACAGGATCGGGAAATTCTGCACTGACGATTTTGTCGACTTGATCAACTGATTGGATTTTATCTTCTTTATGAAGAAAGAGCAAACAATGCATATGTGGAAGCCCTCGCTTTTGAAATTCTATGGTATACACCTTAGCAACAACTCTTCCAAATATTTCCTTTTTTTCTATCACATTCAAAATGGCCTTTCGTTTAATTTTTTCGTTTAAGGGCAATTCTAGCTAGATCAGACTTGTCTAGCTTATATTTCACTATCATTACCACTATCTTGTAAATAGTCTTATCATTTTAAATGTTAAAGCTAAATATGAAGTTTTTCGTTGCATATATAGTGGTTCGTTTTGGAAGCCGTTGGTCCTTAGAAGACAAAAACTTATTGTGATTAACATTAACATATTCAATGATCGCAGCTACTAAATGAACTACTAAACCATTAAAATATCCTTATTATACTTCACCAATAAAAAACAAACCATAGAACACCCACCTTATCTGCGGCAGTGGACCACAAATGCAACTTTATCTCTGTCAAAATACTGCAAACCTGAGGTAAGTTAGCAAAAACACTTGCATGAGCCTTCATTTTAACTAACCAAAATGAAATAAGGAAAATAGAGAGTATATTTCCTTATTTCATTTTAACTAACCAAAAACTAATAGGGATTTGTTGATGGATTGATATAAGAGAAGGATTCTAAGCTATCCAACACTTACAAAACAATCAAATCCTCACAATAGTCTACACCACTACGTGCTTATATCCCAATAGATTTGAATTAGTGTTGTTTAGAATGCCTTCTTTTGTTCAATCACTTATTTTTCATT